CACTTCCTATCACCTGTTTGGGAGATGTTTAGTCCCTTGTATGTGCTTGGAACATACAAAAAGCATAACTACGTGTCCTTATTTTCTCCTAACATGAACACTTATTTTGCTGAACATTTAACAGAAATCTTGGCCAGCAGAGGGCAGCCCACAGCCTGTGAAAAAGCAAAGTGCCAGAGCTGAGGTCAACAGCTCAGCAAATGGCTACTTCAAGAAAAGATCTAGTGAACACTCCCAGGAGATTCAAAATTTATTCATCCTATTTCCTCCTTTTACCTCATTATAGAGAGTGTTGAAGAGTGGAGCTGTGGGCAGGAGAAAAGGCTCTCACAAAGGTGACTACAAAGGGGAGCTCCTGGAGGGAGGGGAGAGAGACAGCTGAAGGAGAGGTGAAGAGTAAGGATGTGGGCAGCCTGAGAGCAGTGAGATCAAGAAAAGTGAAGGCAGGCACAGGGCAGGGCTCTAGGAGGAGTATGGGCCGCAATCAGAGAGGGGGAAGCTCAATAGTGAAGTGGGTAGTTGGATGAGGGCGCAGCAGTCCAGGGCTAGATCCACAGAGGGCAGATATGCAGGAAGGGGTGGGACAGGGCTACACAGGTCTGGTGGGAACAAGAAGGTGGACCAAAAAGAGATTGGCACTCAGACTGTGCGATTTTTCAGTGGCAACTTCGCTTGCTTGCAGGAGCCCAGCTGCAAGGCCACAGACAACAAAACTTGCCGCTGCCTTTTTCAGGGCTTTCCTGTGTTCCTACTACCCAAGATTTCCCAGAAGCACTGCAACTGCCAGGCCTCACTCCTCCAGCCTTCCACACCTCCTCATTGGTGGAGACAACCACTTCCTCTAGCCAATTACTCATCCTAACACCTGACTCCACCTCTTAGTCCCAGTCCTGGAATTATACAATTGGTCAGAAGTGGAAGAGCCCTGGTCCCCCTCTCACCTCAGCACATTCTGTTGGCCAAGTTGGGAAGAAGCCTGTGACTTAGGTACTGTGTATTGAGCACATGGGGCAGATGCTCACTAATCAGGAACTTGGTTGGCCGCAGGCATGAGCAAGGCCCCTCATTTTTGTTCATTTTAATGGTATATAACTGTATATTGCATATGACATGGCTTTGCTAAACTACTAGTGATCTACAATGTGATTCTCTTACTGGGTTTAACCATAAGTTCCACTTGGTATCTTTTCACTACTAATATTCTATCTAATACATCAGAGACTGCCAGGCTATATGGCCCAAACTGTTGGGCTGTGTACTTAACCAAGACTGGCTTCATAACGCTTTCTCACTTTGGACCTAACTCAAAGCCTAACTCAAAGTCTTACTAGTCACTTGATAAATGGTTTGGAGATGTAATCCCAAATGTGAAATATGTTGTATCTAATCCATGAAATAAACCACAAACTGTGCTTTATTTTTGTGGTGTGAGGTGTGAGATGCAAACATTCATCTTTTATTTTGTAATACGTTTGAGACTAACTTCTTAAATTTATTGATGAGACCTAAGCTACATTTAGCTTAGGCTGTGAAGGCCAGTCACCACTGGACTTCTCAGTAATGCTGGCACCTCTCTTATCAATGCATTTCTTTTGGATTCACTTAATCAAATGTCCTATAGTGCCTTCCATATAACATAGTTGGGTAGTGGTTTATGGACATTTTACAATCTGTTCACAATATCATGCCTAGATCTCTGAGCATTTTGAAACATTTTACCTCAAAGAAGATGGCATTTCTAGCATTTTTCTTTCATTCAGTATGGATCATCATTTTCCCAAGCTTTCAAGAGCCAAAGTAACTACAGATTAATACTGTCTTCCAAGTTTCTTGCTAAGAAGTTAAATCTTATGTCATAGAGGATTGCTCCCATATCAACAAAATTTCTACATCAGATTTTCAATTAATTCCAACATTGTTGTTGCCATTTTATTTTCTTTTGCTTTTTAATCTGAGTTTTTAAATTTTTCAGGTATGCCACCTCAGATGACTCCATTTTATGCCTCTGTGTCCCACACTTTTCCAAACAAGACCTTGAACTTGGTGTAGAGGACTTATAAGTTTTGAGAATTTCTTATTACCCAGAGTTTTGTTACTTTTAAGTATTCTCCAGTCTTCAAATATGGTAGGTAAGAATTGATTACATTCTTTCAAGAAAGCCCTCTTTAAGGTAATGCCTCCAGCTTTACTTTATTTTTTAACAGTTTATAAAACAGTTTATTGTCATGGAAACAATGATTAATTAACATCTTTTTTGTTTGTTTGGAGAGTTATACTTTATTTTTCCCCCTTTCTCTTTCTTTTTTAAAATCGTTGTTCAAGTACAGTTGTCTCCATTTCCCCTCTACCACTCTCCCCTGCTCCACCCCCACCTCCCACCCTCAATCCTATGCCCCTTTGTCTTTGTCCTTGAGTCCTTTATACATGTTCCTTGATGCCTCTTCCCTCTCTTTCCTTCATGCCCTCTTCCCCCCCACCTCAGGTCATTGTCAGTTTGTTCTTCATTTCAATGTCTCTGGTTATATTTGGCAGCTTATCTTTAAATGATGGATTGATAATGGTCTTATTTCATTGTCTTTCTCCATTGCATCAATGGACCCCAGCATGGTCAAACAAATCTTTGGTTCTAAAAATTATTAATAATGTTTATGGTTTGCATAGGCTTCTCCAAATGCATCTGTGACATCTCTCTCTTTTGTCTATTTTGTTCCCAACACTTTGTCTTTCTAACTGTCTTTAAACAACCTGATCTTCTCTCTACTCCCCATTTTTTATTAGTATTTCCTTTGTATGGCTTTTTCTTTCCCAACTTTTCAAATATATTTTTATTATATTTGAGACCTCTGTTCATGGATAATGTGATCACATTATCTAGAGTAGCCCCATCCTCTGTTCTCTCAGAGCTCCTCATCAATTTTTTATATCACATTTTCAGAATGTGAAATTATTTGCTCAGTATATAGGTTAAATAATTTATTTTATACAACTTCTCAATTGTCTACTCCCCACTAGATACACATTATATGAAACTAAGGGCCTGCCTATGTGCATCAATCTTATTGGTTACTATATTCTTAGAACCTACTGCCATGCCTAGGCCATAAAAGAATTCTTATATGCATTCTCTAAATCAATCTTCTTTAATTAAGCTTTTGGCTGAGCTATTGTGTGATTGGTAGCCTACGTTCCTTACTACTCCAGAATATGCATTGACTTTGATCTAGAAACAATTGAAGATAGTTCTTAAATATTAACTAAAATTCACACAAAGACTTTACCTACAAGTGTTGGACCATGAACCAAAGGCATCACTTTCATCTTAAATAGACCTTGTTGACTCAGCATAAAAATAACTATGAGGATGATTCTGAGAACATGCAAATCCAGCTTTTTCTAACTGGATTTTCTTATATTCCTTTGATCTTTCTCTTCTTTATGTTCACTGGAAAATTTTCATCATCTGTCATCAGAATTAATGAAAATAGATACCTAAATGGTCAAATTCTTTTTAGTTTACCCCTCTGGATTCCAACTAAACACTGGTGCTAAACATTTTATTTTAATTCCAAGTTTTAACTTTTCAAGCTTTCAATAAATTAGCTCCGATAGAATTAAATCATACACATGGCATTTTAAAAAGAGTGTCAAAATTATTTTCTGAAATTGCTATGAATATTTCCATTCAACCACTGAGAACACTGAAGTAGAGAAGTTATACAACTTGACAAGGATCAACATAGCTTGCAAGTGGTTGTTCTGGGTTTCAAAACTGAGCAGTATGTTTTGAGATCCAATTGTCTTAAACACTATCTTTATTGCCTCTCTTATAATTTTAGATATATATTTCATCTTACCCAAGACAATGTGAAATAAAAGATAATAAAATGAGTTTAAACAATGAGAAATATGAGCACATGATTAATACTTTCCTTTAAAAGGGAGAAGGTGTGAAATCATGTGGCAGTCAGCTAAATATTGGCTCATGTAGTTCCTGACACTGAGAACACACTTGTCAAAAAGAAAAAAGAAAAAATTTCAAGGGAAAAAATGACATGACACTGAATGACTACAAATTGAGAGAGGTACTCTAGCTGCAGGACAGATTGGTAAAATATGTTGACATGGCTTAATGCCAAAACTATTTGAATCACCAGCAAGCGTAAGATAGTAAGACAATGTTATAATTGTATTATACACCCATAATGAGTAATTCTACATGACATTTCATACAAATATGAGTCATTGCACTTCAAAAAAGGAAAAAAATGACTAATATCACAGTCAACAGTGGCTATAATGATGAGTTATGAGGAAATGCCAGAGCAGAATGTTTCTCTATTTTATAATATAAGTGTGAAATAATCAAAGAATGAGAGAGAGAGCAATAGATATTTTCAAAGAATCACCTTGAATGACATTAAAGAAGTAGATAAAAGAAAAAGGGTAGGGCAATTTTAGATATCATTAAGTCTTCAGGAATGGTGTTTGTGGGAAAAGATATTTAAAAATGTTAGAATGATTCTAGCTAGATATAGTAAAATAATATGCTACAAGAATTGCTAGATGACCTCTGGAAGGCAAATAATGACAGTTTATTCATCTGTGTTTAGAAGACATTTTGCTAGAACCATCTCAGTTTCAAGGTTATGGATTAAAATTCTTTTAATCTTATTGTTCAAGAGATACAGACAGTCCCTTTAATTATATTCTACAAAAGTATTATAGCTTAGTGAAAGAGATAATGGGTCAATAAAAACAGCTCTGATAAAGTTGGTAAGACTAAACAAGATAGTCTGTGGGAGCAAACATAGCAAATAAAATTACATAAAGAGATATTGCATTATTAGGCAAATATATTTTTGAGTAGAAAAAATCTAGTCAATGCTTATGAATGCTTTAAAGATTACAATATAATATTTAGGGGCCAGCCATCTGCAAAGAAGGTTAATGTCTCTTTTTTTGTCTATAAATCTTAAATACGTGTTAAGGAAAGAGCTGTTTTAGAATTTGTGAGAAGTCAAAACTTGGAGAAACCTGTCTCTGATCCTCTTGGTTCTTATGCCATAAATCATTGGGTTCACCATAGGTGGAACAAGGAGGTAGATATTAGCCACAAAGATATGAATGTGAGGAGCCACATGGTGTCCAAACCTGTGAGTAAGGAAGGAGAAAAATGCTGGGGTATAGGCCACTAAGATTACACACACATGGGATCCACAGGTGCCCAAGGTCTTGAGACGAGCAGCCTTGGATGGAAGATGGAAGACAGTGTAAAGAATAGCAGTGTAGGAACATAGGATTAATATGAAATCTAAGCCTCCAGTAAGGAGGGCAGCAGTTAGACTGTATATTCTGTAGATCCTTGTCTCTGCACAGGCAAGCTTGATCAGTGCCATAAATTCACAGTACGTGTGAGGGATGATATTAGTTCTGCAGTAGGGAAGCCATCAAAGCATGAAGGGTTGAGGACTGAAAAGCAAAGCCCCATGGAAGACAATAGGCAGCCCCAAGTTCTTGATGACTGTATTTGTCAGGATGGTAGAATGCCTCAGAGGAATGCAGATTGCTACATAACAATCAAAAGCCATGGCCAAGATAAACCCTGAGGCCATGCTGCAAAGCGAATGAATGAGAAATACTTGTACAAGGCAAACTTCAAAATAGATCTCCCTATCATAGAACCAAAAAATGCCGAGGATTTGGGGCATAGCAGTAGTGGAGGTGATTAAGTCAGCCACAGAGAGCATACAGAGGAAGAAGTACATGGGCTCATACAAGTTGGAATCTGTTCTAATAATAAATAGAATAGATAAATTTCCCAGGACAGCGCTTAGGTAAACAAGGAAGAAGGGCATTGATAGCCAAGTGTGGATGGCTTCCATCCCTGGAATACCAAGGAGAAGAAAGGTACTGGGATGTAAATTGGTATTATTTGTTAGTGACATGATGAAAACTTCTGGCTGCATTCACTTGTGGGATGATAAAAGTTCTTTCATATCCTTTTGTCCATTTAGTTAATGTTATGTTTATTTATTAATTTATATAAAATATTTGATAATATTTTATATCTTAAGGAAAAAGGGTAAATAGGGCCACATACCTAACTTTAGAAATGAACATTTCTAGTAAGGGAGAAACTGGTGCAAACCAATGATTAAATTTCCATGTGATTAATATAGTGAAGTTATATGAATAAGCAGTTTTATGACCCATTAGATAGGGTTATTTATTCCACTTGTATGAATCAGAGGATTCATAGGTAAGATGCATTCTGAACCTTAAAAATAAAGAGAAAATTGTAAGTTAAATAAGGCTAGAGGAAAACTCTAACCTTAACTTTATCAGCATGATTTAAAATTCATTTGTCCAGAACTATTTATGAAATACATTAAAATGACAATGACATTGTAGAAAGAAGAGAATGGAAGATAGTTTTCTAAATTTCACTTGAATGCCCACTTCACCACACTAATTGGCATGGTTCTAAACCTGGACACACTTTGCATGTGTCTCCTTAGACTAAGCAGAAATTATAAGTCACCCTCATCTGGCTATTAACTATTTCTAAACCAGGCAATAATCATCCTCTTTTAGTTAATATCCCATTCCTTCGCCAAACATCTTTTCTTCTCCACAACCTTCTGTCCAACAAATTTAGACTCCAGAGTTTGGGGAATTGTCAAATTTAGCAATATATAGCTAAACTGTGCCATGCTCACTGGTCCCACTGTTAACCCTGAGAACAGTTTACAACCTGAGGTATAAAAACAATGGTAGTTGCACATTGTGCCCTTAGAGATGTATAAAACAGAATAAGGAAAAATTAGATGAAAATGCAGAAAGCTTTCAAAATAAAAAAATGGCAGATTCTATCACTATTATTAGTTTTTTCACTTACAGTCGACATTCAATGGTATAGCTGTTTCATGTGTATGGCATAGTGGTTAGACATTTATATAATTTACAAAGTGATCACTGATAAGTCTACTACTTACTGGTATTTTATATAGTTATTACAATATTATTAATTCTATTTTCTATGCTTATTTTAATACGACCAAAGTGGTGATTGCACAGAAAAGCCCGTCTTTGTTAGAATATATACAGAAGGCGCATATCTTCTCAGCAGTTGCTCCTCAGCACCTACTCAGGTCAGAGAATTTAAAAGAATTAATAGTCATAAAGCCTAGATGATGACATGGGAGAAAAAAATCACCCAGTTTTAGAGTTCACAACCACTGAGCACAGGAAAAAAATTCTCATTTGAAAATAAATAAAAGATAAAAAGAAAATCTAAAGTTATCTGGTAATGAAATAGGAACTTGGTTCAATATATATGTATAGGGTGGGACAAGAGTGGCTTTACAATTTTGAGGATGTGAGAAACTGAGTTTAGTTTTGTGTTATTATTGATTAATTATTGTATTATTTTCCATATGAGCAACTATAAACCTACTTTTGCCACACCCTGTATAGTTCAAGATTTGTTTTGAATATCTTTACTTCAGCAAATAAAATAGAAGTTTAGAAACTAGATATTAATATGTAAAGGGTAAAAGAAGCACACCTATGATTGTGCAATTAAATTTGCTTTTAGAACAACTCTTCAATGTAAATCAAGTTCAAAGCAATATTATAAAATATGAGAACATATGGCGTATATATGACATAATTCCAATTCTGAACTTTGTAGTAACTTCATAGGCTGCATTGCTTTTATTATATGGGTGATAAAAATATAATAAAGAAACTTTGAATTAAGAATTCTAAAATAAAACCAACAATAATTCCTCAAAAAAAAAACAGGAGAAAGGAAATGATGAAGAGAAAAAAGTAGTATTAAGTAGAACAGTGAAAAGATAGAGAATATTTCATTTAAAAGAGGACCAGACCTGACAAAATTTTACCAGTTTTAAGAAAAGCAATAAAGAAAAATTATGCAATCTTAGAAATGCAAAACAGCAAACAGTATATTTACTGTAAACTTTCACATACATTTCATATTATGGAATTACTTGGCCCCTACAGTAAGCCCATTAACTCTTCTGCCAGGAGGATATTCTGTTGTACAAAGACTTTCCACATTAATAAAACCCTAGACTCACCATTTTCTGGGTCTTCACTTTCTTCTAGAGAATTCATAACTAAGGCCTGAATTAGAAATTCAGATGTCCTTAGATTTTTGCCATAGGTTGTAGTAAAATGCAGGACTCAAACAACCTGAATCCTATTTGGGACACCATTTAGTCTATTTCTTCAGAAGTCACATGGACAGGATGCTTGCTTGGAATTTCTTTCTTTTTGTCCCACTGCCATTACAGGCACAGACTTTTCTTCAGTCGATCACAAGGCTCCAGCTTCTCTCTTCAGCAACAATAATAGATACTTCAGAAATAAGGTGAGCAGGTAGCATCGCTGAGCACATAGAATTGGAAAAAAGAGTGAAATCACACGATTCCTCTCCTCCTAGATGCTGCTTTCTGTCGCACAGCCTAGAGTTCCTTCCTCTCAGCTCCTTGATAAATATGTTAAGTAACCTGGCCTATCTTTGAGTCTGTTGTACCTGTAACAACTGCTGATGTGTGTGTACTCTGCCCTGGGGCTTGACTAAATGGGGTAGGGGGCAAGGAGTTGTTACTTTTTGTGTCCCCTCTTTTCACTGTCATTAGTTATCAGAGAAAACTTCAACTCTATGACATGACTTTCCTAGAAACAAGATCAGATGGGAAGACTGTAAAGCTACCAGGGAAAAGGAAAATCCTAAAACAAATTAAAATCTGGTGGTTCAAGAAATATGACAATTGATTCAGACCCTGAATTGAAAGAAATAAGTAAAATGATGTAATAAAAATGACTTTATGTTTCCTTTATAATACTAATAATCTTCCCCTCATTGTTTCTTCACCCTCTACTATCCTAGAGCATTAATTTTAAACTTCCAATGTCATTTTGTTTTCTGACCCCTTCGACCTTAATGAGGTACCCAGGGCCTTTCCCTCTATAACATTGGTGTGAAGGGAGATGCTGAGGTGATTGCATTATTTTTTACCTTACCTGTCTTGCATTACTGGAGGCTCCTGGCTTGTTTATTATTATGGTTCGGTGCTTTTTCAACTAACCTCAACTATATAAATAGTTCTAGAATAACAGCCTCTCAGGAACCAAGAAAAAATGGCTCAGGTGTGTATGGAGCCCTATGGAGCTTTGTTCCTGGGGGAGCCCAACATCTGCCAGAGTAGAGACTCTTGAGCAGAAGGCAGTACCAAGTCCTCAGAGTTATTCTCCCACATTTTTATTAAAGATCAAACAGGAGGAAAAAAACAGATAATTTCTTTTCAGGAATCTGTGTCACTATACAATAAAGAACTCCTTTCACTGGAGACATACTTAGTTTATAGATATGCTACTTACATGAAATTCTTTCAAATTTATAACCACACTTTACATAATGATTTTTTAAAGGATTTATTTATTTATTTATTTATGGGGGCAGAGAGAGGGAGAGAAACATCAATATGTGGTTACCTCCTGCATGGTTCCTGCTGGAGACCTGGCCCACAACTCAGACATGTGCCCCAACTGGGAATTTAACTGGTGACCCTTCAGTTCACAGGCCTGTGCTCAATCCACTGAGCTATACCAGCTGGGTTACATAGTGATTTTTGACTTGGTTGAATACACATAATTCCTAATTTTCTATGAGAAAATATAATGCAACAGAGACCTTTTTCTTAGTGCTATAGTTTTCATAATTATAATTTAATGGTTTTTAAATAGATCATTTATTTTGTGTCCTGTAATTCTCTTAATAATTTTTCAGTTTTTGGATATGTGTGTTATTTTCATTGCTCTAGGGATTAAGAAAAATATGAAGATTAATTCTTTATGCAAGTGTGATAGGAACATAATAGAAATAGAGAAAAAATCTTACAAAACTATTCACATTTGTTGCTCTGAATATCATCCTACAAAAAATCTTTATAATCTCATATTACATCACCACACAAATGGAATTTTTTCACATCCTGCATTTACTCATTAAATCAACTTTTTTATAGTCACTAGGTAATAAGTAATATTCTAGGAAGTTGGGAATGGAACAAACAAAGTGTACGAGTTCTGTGACAGGAATATTTGTTGTAGTGGGAGAAATCAATACAAAGCAAATTTTAAAAAATAATATTTTAGTGATGTGGACCCTGGCTCACAGGGTCTGTGTGTTGTGGTTGCAACAAACAAATTCACATGGACTACAGAAGTCCTGTGGAGAAAAATGGCATGGCGACTCTGAGAGAGAGAGAGCACCCCAACCCCTGCCTGGACAGGTTTTTATTGCTTTTCTGGGTATATTACATCGAGGATGGTCCTTATTTACGATACACAGGTTTGTTGTAGGTGATTACCTTTTGCAGATAACAGAGGAAAGAATGTTGCTAGTTACTTCAAAGAGAAGGATGTTGCAGATCAAGGGGAAAAGTGGTTAAACTGGTTATACTCCATAGTTGGGAGGTTTAGCACAGACTTTAGGAAGTTAAAGATATGCAGTCAACATTTGCTGCCTCAATTCAGGGTGAGCAAGTTTTAGCAAAAGCAAGCCTCAAAGCAGCCTAGGTACAATGGAGGTCTGATTCCCCATGGGAGAACCTATCCATGGGCATGGCTCCTGTGTGCCAACCTCGCTCCCTGTGGGTTTTCCAAATCAGGGGCTGGGCTACATTCCCCATGCCACACAATGGTTCCCTATATTTTAGAATATACAAAAATCTTTTGTTGGAAACTAAGAGGTTGATGTGATAGACTGACTAAAGGTAAGAAGAGCTTAGAAAAAGGTCAGGAAGACCTCTGTGAGGAGATAATATGTGAATTGAAACCTGAAAGAAAAAAATCAAACCAGCCATTCAAAGAAATGAGAAAGAGTCTTACAAGGAGAAAAAAGATGACAGAACATGATGAAAGGGGCAACTTCTATTGTGGGAGAATATTCTTCCTAAGTATTGAGGAGAAGAAAAGCAGTAAAATGTGTGGAGCAAAGTAAGCAAAGAGAAAGAGTGGCTCTTGAGAAGGTCAAAGAAAGAGACAGGCCAGGTCATTTAAGACCTTACAAATCAGTGATAAAAGCTATAGCTTTATAACTTACAATATTTGTATTGTTCTTAATAATAAGTAATATGTTTTCACATATCTTATTCTAGCTACTATAAGAACTGTGCCTCATGTAGTTTGTTACCTGTCAGAATAAGCACTAAGCACTGTGCTTGGTATAAAAGAGGCACTTATTTATTAATTTTTTATTTTGTTTTATTTTTTCATTACTGTTTATTCCTCCTACACCCTCTTCCACCTCCTACCCCAACCTACAATCACCACACTCTTGCCCATGTACATGAGCTCTTTCTCTATTTCTCCATTTTTGAATGTATTAGTGGTAAAGAAATAAATGAACAATAACAAAATGAATCACTGAGTAAAGAATGACTAGTTGAGTATATACATATATATTTAATCTTGGGAGAAAATATTTTACGTGCCATGAGCCCACACTTCATATAATAAAAGAGACTTTACTGACTTAAAATTATGATTTCAAACTTTAGGCATATAGAGTACATCTAGAATTTCCAAAAACTTGTTCCTTATCTCTGGGTTTAATTCAATTATGTCTGTTCTCACCTCTCTCTATCCTATGTTTTTATTCTATTTCTAATTACCCATCTCCTTTAGCACATTCATGTTGAAAAGGTATCAACTAAAAATAAATTAAAATATGTGAATATCAAAATAGATAACATTTATTGTAATAAATGATTAAAATAAAATTAATTGGAAAAAACTTTTGGAGGACAATATGAACATTACCATCATCTGTATATTGTATAAGTAACATTTAACTACTTATAAACATCTTTAAAATAAGATCTTCAAATACAAAGTATGTATTTTAACCAATGGATATTGAATACACCATTGCTAGTGCTTGTGCTGCAAAAAAAATGAAAGTTTTATCAATTTTCTTGCTAAAAATATATATTGAAACTATTGCATGCTAGATTTTACATTTTACATATCAGTACAACTATTTAAATGGCTGCCTACATAAATAACCCAACTTTTAAGTTTATAATTTTTATCTACTATATTAGCTCCTAATATTTATTATTAGAGTTACATTACATAAATAAAATATATTTTATCAAAACCATTTAAAAATAATATTCTCAATATTAATATAATTCTTTACAGCAAAATATAGTTGATGAGAGGTTAGTGATTAAATCTATGAATGAATGAACAAATGAATGAAAGAGTAAATGGGTGGCAAGATCGTATCATGAATTGAGAACAGAGGCATCATCTTATTTTTGGATCTTTATTGAAGGCTGGAGTCTAGTCTTCTGGCAAACAGGTAGTGTTCCTAAAACAAGAAGCCCTCTTGTTCCTGCCTAGAATTGCAATATGATTGACACATGTGTCTCATTTGAATATGGGTTTATAAATTAGGAGATGCTTTTATTCGTATTACCTTGTTTGATAAAGTTGTGCTTGGTTTCTTTTTTTTTTTTACCTTCTGAATGCATTCTCTGCCTTCCTGGGGAATCTGTAAGATATATGAAAGCTTAAATAATAATTCATTTTTGTATTTCAATCCCCTATCATTAAGCAAAATACAGTGCAATTGTTTTCATAATGTCAACTATTATCTTTTGGATTATGTATTGACCATCTTTATGCTGCAGAAGACCCTTTGTGGCAAAACATGATAGCAATAAAAAAAATAACAGAAATGGTCACTATCCCCTTCACCATCAAAGTGTTTGCCATTTCCTTTTATACAAAGCATTGTTGCAGAATACTTCCATATCCCATTTAGTCATTCTGTCATTCAATCTAATAACTGAAACAATAAAAAAATTCCTTAAAAAGTACCACATAGATGACAGCCTTATTACACAAAGAATCTAGAAAGAGCGATATGCATTTATAATGACAATATAAATATTTTCAAGGCATTCAATTAATCCAGCCACTAGATTATGTATATATTTACATCATGTCTGATACCACAAAAATAATTTAGTTCTATTATTAATCAAAAGGAGTAAAGGGATTACATTGCAGGAATTATGGCAGATAGGTTTATAGATGATAAAGTATATGCCAGGTGCTATGAAATGCAATTAGCATAATGTTTGGCGTGGGAAGAGCTAAATCAGGAAAATTGAATGTGCTTATGTAAAAGAGCTAAATGAATCCAGTGAATATAATCTTGACCATTTGCCATGATTTCTTCTCTTAAGAGGTTCTCTGATAGAATTTCATTCTCATTTAATCAGTGTATTAAGGGACATAACAGATTGATGCAGGTTTAGCAACCTGGCCCAATATAAGGTAGTTATATTTCTTGTCCCATAGTCATTGCAGCTGAGGCAGAGTAATATCACCAGATCCATTCCAGAAGTCCATACTTTCCTGCTGTTGAGGCCCCACAGCAGTTTGGCTTTTGTTTTGCTTGAGCTATAGGCACTCAAATTATCCCTGGATGTCATGATATAATATAGAACCTATTTTTTTGTTTGCTTAATCTAACCAAAGTGAATTTGTATTGTGAGCAACAAAAAGAATCTTTATTACATGAAGATATTAAAAGAGATATTTTCTGGAATTTAGAGAATGACTTCTAAGAAGAAATAAAAATATGTACTTTAACTATAGACCCTAAATAATATGTAAGAACAAGTCAAGAAGTTTGTTATGCAAAATCATGAACATTTACTATTTATTAGTTAAGGCATTTATCTAGTAAAAAATATTATTTTTTGTATATTCTGGATCCTCTGGTTATAATGATGAGTTTGGAATCAGCACCAATCCCTGAATTTATCAAATTGACATTTGTCTTGCATCAAATTGACACAGAAGAGGGATTGTGTATTACTTAAAAAGATACTTAAATTCCCTATGATGTTACAGTGACATTTCACTGTTATAGTACCTCAATATGCTGAAATATTTCTTCATGGAACTTAAGCAATTCCTTTAGTTTCCTGCTTACTAGTGCAAGGAAGATAGCGTGTGGAAATATGGATATTTGGAGCTCTATTCAGAGGTTAGGTATTCTGGAGAATGGTCTGTCCAAATTAATTCAGATGATATTTAACCCTGGTCTTCCATTTTGGACCTTCCTGTTCCTTGTTGCATTGTAACACTGGATCATTTTGGATAACTGCAGAGTTCTAGTAGTTTCATCCTTATCTGTTTTGTCTTTATCCCGTAAACAATGGGGTTCATGGTAGGTGGCACCAGTAAGTAGAGGTTTGCCAAGAGAATAAGGGTGTGCCTGGGCACATGGTTTCCAAAGCGATGGGTAAAAAAGGAAAAGAAAGCCAAAGTGTAGAATATCAAGATGACACATATATGAGCTCCACATGTTCCAAAGGCCTTTGTCCGGGCTTCCCTAGATGGTAGTCTTAAAACTGTCCTCAGGATTACCCAGTAGGACAGGGATATGAGAACAAAATCCAGCCCTGTAGTGAGGAGAGCTGCAGTGAGCCCATAAATACTGTTAAGGGCAAAGTTATTGCAGGCCAGCTTGGCAATGCCCATGTTCTCGCAGTAGGTATGGTGGATGATGTTGCTCCGGCAAAAGTGCAGACGGAGAATGAGGAGGACACCAGGGATAACTACAACCACACTTCGAACCGTCAGAGCCAGGGCCACCTTGCTAATGAGAGAGCCCGTAAATACAGTTGCATAATGGAGTGGTGCACAGATAGCCACATAGCGATCAAAAGCCATGGCCAGTAGAACAGCAGACTCAGAGAGGAACAGAGCATGAACAAAAAACATCTGTGTGAGACACGCATGAAACGTTGATGGGGAAGGGCCCTGCCAGAAGATAAGAAGCATTTTGGGCACTGTGACAGTACAAAGAAGAACATCATTGAGTGCCAGCATAGCCAGGAAGAAATACATGGGTTCATGGAGGTTCCTGTCCCAGGCCACCACTGCCATAACTAGGCCATTGCCTGTCACCGCCAAAAGGTACATGAAGCTGAAAGGAATGGAGATCCAGATTTGGAAGTCTTCTAATCCTGGGACTCCAGTTAGTAGAAAGACAATGAGGGGAGTGGATGTATAGTTGGATGTTGTTACGGAGAGGTAGCCAAAGTCTGTTACATGGAAAACAGAGAGAAAAGAATATAAGTAAAAGTAGAAGAAGAATATTTCCTCATTCTACTGAAGACCTAACCATTAATTTTGGCATGATGATATAGAAGAATAAAATGATTTGAGAAAAATTGCTAAATAACTAAATGATTATGGGCAAAACACTTTTTTTTCTTGGAGACATCTTGTTTTTTTAAAAAAAGGTAGAAAAATTAAGAGTTAAATCTCTTATTTTTGTAAAGCTAATTGTGGTGTCCACACAATTTATGTGTATGAGTTTCAAACTTTTAACAGTACTATATATATACAAGTAGTTTTTGCCTTTCTAACTTGATAATAAATTCTCAAATCCCAAACATAACTTTTTGTCTTTTCATAAAACTGGATAGAATTAATATTCCATTCTTTGATGGACAGATTTATTGGGAGGGAATGGGTTGGTTGGTAGAATGGTACATAACTAGAGCCAGCATGAAGGCTCCATTTCATGTTTCCCTTCCTAAGGGTGTAAAATATGTTCATGTGCCCTAATTTGTATAAAATAAAGAAGTTTTATCCATCTGTCTTTCATTTGAACTGTTGAAGATAATGGTTGAATTAATGTGTAAATTAAACTGTTATGCAAAAGTTATATTATTCATACCTTAATAAGCACTGACTCTCAAAGATCATGGAATGGAATCAAACAAGACAAAAATTCAGAACATTCTCATTCAGAACAAGAAAGTCACTGAAGAATATTAAGGCTCCTAATTATTCAATAGCTATCATTAAAAGAGACTTCTACAGACTACAGTGACTATAATTTTTATATTCACCAACAAAAGTATAAGATCAAGTTTTAGCAACATTTTATTTTTATTTAATCTTTATTGTATTTTTCATTACCATTTAGTCTTCTTACACTCCCCTCCCCACACTTAAAAAAATAGCAGTAGTTCTTACTTTTCATATGTCAAAAATTATAAAATACAAGGAGTTTTTCTTAAAAAATGCCTGAAATATAAAATTAATTTTCACCAGGGTTATAAAACACTAATTTAATTACTCACATTTGTAATCAAATGCTATACTTTTGGCAAAGGCATCATGTATGTTTATAAAGACTTTTTGACTACAAATCTTAGGAAGTTTCAAAGTTATATTAGATAGTAAATGTGTTCTTCCAAAAAAGGCCTCCAAAATGTAGAATCTGCATGGCTCTAGTTTTCATGTAGAATTGCTACACCATCAAGTAGATGGAAAACTACACTGCATTCAAGATCTCTAACTATCATCCCTTGAATTAATTGAAATCCTTTTCAAATATCCCAGACCTTAGTGACAAAGTAGGACCCATTATCACATTATCAATACAAATTTTATTCTTTTCCCTCTCTCTCTCTCTCTCTAATCTCTATCATCTGCCTCTGACAATTCAGATAAAGAAAAAAAAACAAAAAAAGTCTCATCAAAAGACAAACACAGAGAAGACATGACATGTATTTTAAAGAAACTCCAAGAGAAAGATTCCTTAAATGGCTATTTTGTTAACAATATAGAGGTATAATCAGCCTTGTAAGATTGAGCTTTTGCTCCATTTTCAATGCCTGTCTTTGCTCTGTAACCACCACACAGAAAATATCAGCATATTTAAATGGGAGACATATCACATATCAGCACAAGAATGGACAATATAACAGTGTTGGTTTAAATAATAATTACAAATATTTATCAAGGTTTACAAGTGCTGAACAATTTCCTAAAACATATTCTAACCACTTGACATGGATTTTCCAATCTGATGGAAAATCACTACTATATGAAGTAGTGGCTACTACTTCACCACTACTATATGAAGTAGCTATTGTTAGTGTCCCAATTTTACACAGAAGGGAACTCAGTTACTGAAGGACTTTCCCTAGGTCACATCACTAGTAAATACATAAAGCCTGTTCTAAAATCCAGAGACCCTAATTGCAGAACCCACAGTTTTAACCACTACACTATTCTAATTTACCTTTTAGATGCATGGTTTTTCTAAATCTTTGGAACCATAAATAAATAGATCTTGAGTTTCCTCCTAAGGTCTTAAGTCTTAGGTTTTATGAGCTAGATAATCATGTCTAGCCTATAAGAATTCAGAGAAGATATATATATATGTGTGTGTGTGTGTGTGTGTGTGTGTGTATTTACATATACATACATACATGCATATATATAGTCATCTGTATTGTACATCAATATTTATAAAAACAACTCAAAGAATACCTCTGGGCCAAGAAGTCTTGTGGGTATTTTACATGCTGAGTAATTGCTTTAGCATCTGAGACCTGCAGTTAGTATTTGGATTAACTGACTAGACCTAACTTTTATAATAACAATTCATGTGTATGGACACACTACCTTGATTAAGAGAAGAGTATATAGGCTATGGTTATAAATCCTGCTTTTTAGAAGAGATTATAGATGATAAGATTAAGGAAAAAAATACAAACCTATTATTAATTAAGAGAAGTTTGCAGATATATATTTACTTGAGGGGAAAACAAAAATTGACTCATTAAATTAATAGCTAGACAAGTGAGGCAAGTTTATTGCTAAGGTTAGAAAATATCATTAAAGTAAGAAGATTCCTTTAGTGGAGAGAAATAATTATGATGCTATCCAGTCTTTGGAGATGTAAATCAATGCTGGTTCTCTTCATATATTTTATTTTAAAAATTAATTATGTTTTTATTCTTGAACTCTGAAATTTCATGCCCTCTTAGTTCAGAATGATTTAGCAAATCACCTGTTTTAATTTACCAATCTGCAGTCATCATGAAATTCTTCTGTTGACACTCATGACCTCCATCACCAGTGTTGGGAAATTTAATATAAGTCAGAAGACACTAAATAATATAAAACTGTGCTTCCTATTCCACTTATGAACATTCAAGATAGGGTTCTTGAAAATGGCATTCTTTTAGAATTTTCCTGCATGACAAAATATAAGTTTTAGCCTCATCTGTGTTTAGCCTCATACCTCAAAAGATGGTATCTAATCATAGACATCCAAGTTGCTCCAAAACAAAATAATTTTCTCAATTGGTTTTCTTTAATGTCTACATGAGTTTTGTAATTTTTTTGGCATAGTTTATAGTTTTGATTCTTTTTTGTCTACTTTGTGGTTTATGTCTCAAATAATTTGTGACCATTCATTTACATCTTTATTTTTTCAATGCATATTTTGCAGGTCACATGCATTGCTTGGTTCTTGTTAGTATAAATACTTCAGTGAAAAGAATAGACATGCTCCTTGTCTTAAACAAAAAGATACTCTGCAGTGAAAAAATTATTTTTCCCAGATAAAGGCATTGAGTTAAAAAATAAGAGTTTTGGAATGATATTAAATATGAGAAAGGTAAATGAAAAACTAAAAAATAACAATTTCAGAAAATATCCATCTGATTTTCAGAGAATCTGCACTCAAGGTGAAGTAGGCTGGCAATAGATTGTTTAGAAATACAGGTGAAACAAAGTCTGCTGAGTCAAAGGTACCATAAGTAGTTTCCTAGAATACATAGAAATAATGTGGCTATTTTCTTCTATTACTTAACAAATCTTACTTTTGTACTATTATTCATAGTATTTTTGTCTCCAAGCTAGGATTTTAATCTATATGAATTATGAGAAATTTTATGCAATTAATGTCTTGGTTCTGTGGATAGTATCTTATTAACTATATAGACATTTTTATTATACTATTAATTATAGAATATATGAGCAAGAGTCTTGTTTTTTTAAAACATGTTAACCTATTTGTTTTACTATATCTGTATTTTGTGGTTGAAAGGAAGGTGGTTTGACTTGATAAGAAAGAAAAAAGAGAGAAAGAAAGAGAAAAGAAAAGAAAGGAAAAGAAAAAAATAAAACAAAAGAAGGCCAGCCTTGGCTGGTGTGGCTCAGTTGGTTTAAGCGTTGTCCCATAAATCAGCCAAAAGGTCATGGGTTCGATTTCTGGTCAGGGAATCATATCTCTCTCTCTCTCTCACTCCCTCTCTCTCCCACCCCACTCCTGCCCTCTCTTTAAAATCAATAAGAATGTCCTCAGGTGAGGATTAAAAAAAATAAAAGCCACAAAGTTATGTATAGTAATGCTGAGTAAGGTTGATGCTGCCCTGACTATATTACATTAATTTAGGAACACTACATTATGAAGGGGCACCTCAAATAAACGTAATTACCTTCTAGAGGTGGGCCCCTTGTAGTACAACCTTCCCAGGCTAGGTGGGCATTTTAAGAACCCATCTATATCAGTGTACCAACTGGTGGTGTCATTAGAGGCTGAATTCAGCTTCAGTTTTTTTTGAAGACCCTTTAAATGTCATTGCCCATTTCATGATAGGTATGTTATGAGTGCACCTGTGCTGAGTGTTCAGCAGTTTTTGACCAAAAATGGCATGACCAGCGTGCCTCATCCTTCTTATTCACCAGATCTAGCCCTGAGAGACTCTTTTTTTATTTTTTATTTTCTTTTCCCCGGATGAAAAAAGTCCTCAAAGCGAAACGTTTTGCTGATGTGGAAGAGGTGGAACAAAGAACAGCGGAAGCACTAAAAGGCCTCAAAATGGACAAGTTCAAAACTGTTTTGAGCAGTGGGAAAAACATCTTGGTAGATGTATTGCATCAGATGGAAAGTACTTTGAAAGTGACTGAAGTTTAAACATGTAAGAATAAATACACAATTTTTTTGTAAATAAATTCCAGGTTTTTTGAGTCCACCTTAATCCTTCAAAAATTTAAATACTATGTAGATGGACTGAAAATACAAATACATGAACTGATATACTTGGTGACAGTGTTGATGATTATGATAATTATAGTGACAATACTGATTATGTTAAGTAGGCCAACAAAATTTTTGACAAGAGTTTAATTTTTGTTTCCTTCTTTCTGTGTCTATATTATAACATAAGGCAGGAACATATATGTGTTACTGCAGATGGAAAATACTGACTATTGCACTCACGAAAGGAAGGAGGAAAACTTAGAGAATGAATAGTAACTGTTGCAATGACTGATTGGATATAAACTTCTTTGAGCAGGAAATGCCCAAAGAAGAAAAATTCCTAAAAATATTAAGCAACTTTATATATTGTTAAATAGATACATAATTAGAGTGGGCATTAGTCCATTAAGAAAATAATTGATATTAACTGCAGTACTTAGAAGCATCAAAAGTAAAATGGTGCAGGATTATATGTTAATGTAAATCAAAGAAGAAGACAAAGGAGATACTGTCTTGGAAGAAATTTCGGATATAACAATGGGTCACTTTAAAAAATTTAGTCAAATAAGCTTGCATTTTTAAAATGCCTTAGGTGTCATTTGATTAGAAAAGTGCCATAACCATCCTCACAGTACTTCCTGACTTACATATAGTCTTTATTAATTGATATACTTTACAAAATTGTATCAATCACCTAATAGTTATAAAATTTAAAAGTTTCCTCCTGAGAAGTTCAAGATGGCACTATTATTGTATCTATGAATTAGAGAAGACACAGACTAGTTAATAATTTTATTGGATTAATTAGTATTTTTAAAAATGACTTTTCTGTTTGAGGGTCTTGGGGTATTCAGGCTAACATGCAAGTTACGTGTTTTCTGAATATCTGGATTACTATCTCTGGAGAGTGAAGCATGCCATACATATTTCATTGTTTTTAGATACATCCAAACATGGACCCCTTTGACGTTGTCCAATCCAGTTCAGCCTATGAGTACAGGTAGAAGCTCATAGGAAGAAAGATTACAATTCTTGGATGAGATTTTTATTTTTTGTTCTGTGACTAATAGGACATGGTTATTTGACAGCAATATTTATCTTTGGGAAGTATGTAAATATACTGATGCAACAATAATAAACACCAACAAAAGAAAATACAAATAAAACTTAATCAAGTACCTATTATATAAATAAAAACAGAGATGGAGAAGGAGGGAAGAAGAGAGTCAGAGAGAGAGAGACAGAAAGAGAAAATAATGAGAAGAAAGGAAGGGAGAGTAAAAGGAAGGAAGGAAGGACGGACACAGAAGAAGGTTCACTTGACAAGAACCATGAGAAGGGATTAATGTGCTTAGATGGACCCCTTATGGTCAGCCGAGGCCCAGATTTTATTAATAATAAGAGCCTAGTGGCTATTTGTTGACAGGAACTTCTCACATACTCCTGCTGGAAAAATCTCAGCCTGAACTCTAGGCTTCCCATACTGTGTTCACTTGTTTATACCATCTGAAGTGAACAAGTGCAGGGAAACCCTGGTTTCCTTTTTCTACTAGTCTGCCCTGTTCAATTAGATCTGCACAATTTGGTTAACTAGTTTACACAAAACGGTCCTAATTGGGAGTCTGTGTGAAAACTTTTGTTATAAAAGTCAGCCTCCCCTTTTGTCTTGGTGGAAACACAATGCAGGTTGCTATCTGAATCTGTGTCTCCCAAGGCTGCAGCTCTCTTTGCTCAGATAAATGCCTTTTTATTCTTCATTAGTCTGAAATTAATTTTGGGTTTTGGAAGAAACGAAGGATTCTAAATCACTCTTTAGCTACTTCAATCTTTATGTTCTACCCTTGATGGCCAAAATCTCAAAATATTTATCTACACCAATTTACCTACTCAGTCAAATTTCCTTCATGAATTTTTAAAACACTGAATCCTTTCCCATCACTTTGCAAACATTGGTCATGATAAGTTTTCCATTGTTTTTCTAAATCTAATGAATGCTTTTCAGTAACGAAATTAAGTCACTCTTCTGTGATTTTGGCATATTCATTCTGCTGTTTAAAACACCTTTTCATTTGGATAAATTGACATCATGTTCTCCTAACATTTATATTGCTTTCTTATCAGACTATTTTTAGCGATTCAACTGTACCCTATTATAATAATCAAGTTTTTCAGTATACTCATACTGTTTCCTTAGTCAAATTGTCCACTCCCATGATCTCAAACACCATGTTTATGAACATTGCTTCCAAATTCATTATTCAAGACACTGTTTTCATCAGAGCTCTGATATATATATATATATATATATATATATATATATATATATATATATATATATATATCAAACTCCAGGCTGGAATCAAGTGTATCAAATAAAGAAAGTTTAAAAAATAATATGTCTAAAACAAATGCTATTCACCTACACATTTCTTATATCAATATATAACATCATCATTTGTAGTTTCTTATTCCAAAAAGCTAAACATGATTGGTACCTCCCTTTCTCTTACCCTTCATAGCCAATTAATTGTGAAGTCTTGCAATTCCTTGCTCTAACATTACTATATCCTGTTATTATGACTCTTTTATCTAGTTTTCTGCTGTCAACTCCTGCCTCACTCATTTGTTCAATAATGGGACTAATGTTCTTATACACATGTTTGATCATTTCACCATTGTAATTGCAATTCATTAGTAGTTGCATATTGTTCTGGGAATTAAAACTAAATTAAAATCTCATTCTTCATAACCCTATTTCTGCCTAATTTTCAAACATTTACACTTGAAATTTAACAGTCACTTATTCACCTGTTTTTCATATGGTCCAATTTGTTCTCAACTTTTCCTCTTCCCTCTTCTGTCTGCCTAAAAATTTCTTCTCTTTTATATTCCTCAGGTTATTTACCCTTAATCTTCCAACCTCAACTACATACCACTTGCTCAGGAAAGTTATTACATTCTCTTTGCTTAATTAGAGTCTTTCATTAGGCTGTCATTGTACTTGTCATTCCTTAATAAAGGCAATTATCATAATTGTAAATATAGATGCATCCTTAATAATCTTTGTTTTTATCACCTGTTATACTGAAGGAAAAGTACTCTTTTTGTTCTCTACTGTTTTCTTGTACTTTCGTAGTGTCTAATACTGCATCTGATACTATGAGAGTACTTAATAATTTTAATGGATTTTTATAAATGTTCCATGATTACTTCAAACTTAGTGTGTTTAAAGTGGGTTCCACTAAAAATATACATTCTTTGTCACTATCCTATTGAATGACAAGACATCACCTTGATTTCACAGGCCTGAAACTTAAGCATCAACTATGAAACTACTCTCTGTTCACCAACCCACAATCAGTTATTAAGGTGTCTTTATATATCCTAAGTATTTATCTGTTATTTTTTATTCCCCCAACCACTAAAAAATCTATTCTCAATTGTGATTTTGAAATCATTTCTAAACTCTTGTTCTTCAAACTTTATGAACAACTTAAAATGCCATGAATAAATCTTAATCATAAAATATGAACAAAAAAGCATAATGAAAAATTTATATGCAATAAGATCCTATGTTCCTAACATAAAAAGAAGTTAAGGGGAAAAATCTTTGAGATAGAGAGATTATGAATCTTTCTATTTCAAAAGTCCTTTAATGTACTTGCATGAAGTCATTAAGGGGAGACAAGGAATATAGTGGAGAGAAGGCTCAGCATCATAGTTTCAGCATAATAGTTACTCATCTAACTTCTATGAATAAGGAAAGTCCTATTTCACTGCATCATGTATTTTGACATCAACACCATTTTTAAAAAGTCTAAACAATAGATATGCTTCCAAGATCATAAGTAGAAATGTTTCTAGATTTAAATGAAAAATATTGGATGACTAAGATTAATACAATTTTCACATGGCAACTATGCCACCAATGTCACTGAAATGCAAAGGACTAAGTCAATAAAATGCCAAGACACTTAATTGTCATGTCTGTAATATCCTCCAGCAAACTTTCAGAAATCTTTCCTGGGATGTGTATTAGGAAAACTCAGTTCCATCACTTCTCCTATATCAGTAAGACACTTAAGTTCTTTAATACTTGAGTCCTTATAAAAGAACAAAATTTTTAGAAAATATTACAAAAATGTTAAGTTACTGAACACATGGCAACTACCATTATTTTTTTACCTTAATAGACAACAAGGTGGGAACTGACTGAGGGAGTGGGGAGGAGGGTGGGCAGGGCATGGGAGAGCAAAAGGGGAAAAATTGGGACAACCATAATTGAACAATAAAATAAAATTTACTGAATAAAATTCAAGGGTTCCACTATATTTTCAATGAAAACCACTTCTTTACCCTGCTTTGGATCTGCTGGGTCTTTACACTATAGATGATTGGATTCATCAGGGGTGGAAATAGAATATAAATGTTTCCCATAAGAACATGAACCAAAGGTGAGAGGTGCTTTCCAAAGCGGTGTACCATGGTGAGACCAATGATGGGAATATAGAAAACCAGGACAGCAGAGATGTGGGAAACACAGGTCTGCAAAGACCTGAGCCTCTCTTCCTGAGATGCAACTGCCAGCACTGTATACAAGATGAAAACATAAGAGATGAGAATAAGGACAGCATCTATGAGCAAGACGAAAATCACCAGAATCAGGGCATATAAGCTGTTGAAGCGGATGTCAGAACAGGCCAGCCGGAGTAGGTCCTGGTGCAGGCAGAAAGAGTGGGAGAGCACGTGGGGGCGGCAGTAATGGAAGAACTTTAAGCGGATGATGACAGGAAGAATGGACACAGAACTTCTCATCACAATGGCCACCATGAAATTAATGATTCTTCTATTTGTCAGGATGGATGTATATCTCAGAGGATTGCAGATTGCAGTAAAGCGATCAAAAGCCATGACAAGAAGGACTCCAGACTCTGTGCTAGAGAGACCATGGACAAAATAAGCCTGTGTGATGCAGGCATCCAGGCTGATTTCCTGGCTGATCCCCCACAGGATCCCCAGCACTGTGTGCACTGTAGACAGCCCCATACATAGGTCAGTGAAGGCCAGCATGGCCAAGAAGTAGAACATGGGCTGGTGTAGGCTTGGCTCAGTTCGGATTACATGCAGCACCAGGGAGTTTCCCAGAAAAACCATAGCATAGATGGAGGAAAGAGGAATTGAAAACCAGGGAGAATACTGGTCTAGGCCAGGGAACCCTGTAAGGATGAATATGGAAGAATTGATAGAAGCAGAGGAAGCAGGCATGAATATTTGAAGGTAGTTTTCAAAGTATGATAAATATTTATTCACAGTTTTGTTTAAATTGTCTATTGTCCTTGAGAATGATCAAATATAGCACAGCCACTCAGAATACAACACAGGTAAAAGCAGTTGTAGAACTCCTGGGCCGCTCAAGTCTTTGGGAGAAGTCACAGCACAAGATGATTTCATAGGGAACCTTCTTAATATACATTTCAGAGGTTACAGAAGCAAGGCAATGTCTGACAATTTTAGGAAAATCAGATCATTAACTTCATTGACTTTTAGTCTCTCTGAGCACCTGTCACCACACAAAGCAGGTGACAGTGACACCTCAGGCTGCTGCTGCTCTGCTGCTCTTGAGTCAGCCTCAGGAATGCTTTCTTCCTTATCAGTCCTTACTGTACAGGGAGACAGGAGGCTCAGATTTATGAGGAGTGAAAAGCATTGTGAAGCAGGTGATCCCAGGCTCCTGGGAGACCACTATTCCCTCATGGTCAATGATGCAAGTGAAAGATTCTGCCAAGAATATTTTTTCGGCAGTGATGATAGAAAACTTGCTTATTAGATCAGAAAAATATGATTCTAAAAGTCATAATATATCTTCAACCCTTTATATCTATAATAGCTACAACTATAACATATATACTTACATTATCAAACTAAATTATATAAACAAAGTTTATCCCAATGACAAGGCAATTTTGGGTGTTGCTTATTCACGTATTCAGTCATTCGTTTACTCATAAGCCCTGTACACAGTATCAGCATAGAAGCAACAGAAAGTTTATAGTGGCTGTGTTCTTTTGGAGCCTACAATCAAGTGTGGAAAGTATGGAATATAATAAAAATACATATACAAATTCATATAGGTATCCTAACAGTGAAAATATGCCATAACACTGAAAATTTTGAAAGACTGGTAATAGTATATAGCTCAATGACAAAATTAGAATATTATATATCTGATCAAAGAAGTAGCATAAATAAGACTTGAATGAAAAGTGTTGGGGAAATATCTGGGAGATTCAAAATATTTCAATTTAGGGTAGGTTTTGTTTTTCTACCACCACTAGAACTACAATGAAAATATTTGACCAAATTCAAACTTCAACACATCTCAAGGCAACCCACTTTATTGTATTTGATTTTTTTAAAGCCTGTTTTGACCTATGTACAGTAATGTTCAGGAGGTTGAGGCATATCTCTTTTGGATACCCATTTTGTTTAAACTCTTGGTGTCCAGAATTGAGCATAGTAACTGTCAAATAGTTGTTGAAGAAATAAGTGAATGTTTGTCTAGAATTCATACAGCAGAGATGCAAATGTCCCTTCTTATAGTTTTAAAATAATTTTCAAGATATTTTGCTTAAAGTGAACTATTAACGAATGAAAAGGTTGCTACTTTGAAGTCCTAAATATATTTATTATATTAAACATTTAGCATAAATATCTTCTGTGATATGTTATAAAAATACATGACTTTAAGTTTATACTTCCCTTAAGTACTGGGGGAATGTTAGCAATTTTACTATGTCCTACTTTTCAGTGTTTAATGATGTCCCAGAGTCTACCAAAGAGTATGGGACTACTAGACTATTTGACCATTCCAACTTTATTTTTACTTTTTAATAATTATTGTGTTTTTTAAATTAAACCTAATTTATTTTGCAGAAGCCAGCAAATGTTCAGATATGGTTTGTCTTCAATATACATTTATTTTTAGCAAACATGCAAATTAATTTGGCATGAGGAACATCTTTCTCTCTAGCTCTCTTTGAAAATTGTTTTTCATAACACAAAAAACAGTACAAATATTGTCCAAAAACTATTTACATTTTTACCCTCCTATATTACTAACATTAATATATATTGAGAGGAAAGAATAACTGCAATGATTTATCTTTGCCATTCATGTGTGATTCAGCAGTATAATTAAAAACTTATAATGTTTTTAAGATAAATACTTTGAAAGAAATTTAATAAATCTTATTTTTGTTCTGCAATGGAGCCACTACACCAAAGCATTTAATTGGAACTGTTGAGTTTCTGCTTGTAGAATATTAATTCCAGCCTATTAGCTTTTCTTTTTGTAGCTCAATGCTACCCCCTTTCACTGAGTGAAATCACAGGGGGAAAAAAAAGCAATTGCTTTTGTCCTCCCTACAGCCAGCATCATGGAAAGCAATACATCACAAGTTACAACATCTGAATTTAGTTTGACTATATTTTGTCTCTTATACTTAAAATTATTTTGTATTATAGTACTTACTGGGTATCTAAAATCAACATTAATTTTAAGTTGTTATAAAGCCAGACTTTTAGAGGAATTTGAAATAATTCATGAACCATGTCTGAAAAGAGGTAATTGCTTCTAGCCTATTCTTTTGCACTTCAAGTAAAAGAATTTTAGGTATCAGTAATTTAGTGAAAAACAATACTTTCAAGACACATATTACTTATTCACATCTTTATATTATAAACAAGAATATGATACTTTTGACAGTAGCTTATGGACAAATTTTAAAATATATTTCCTTTAGTATAGCATAAGTATCAAGGGAGCATGTTATACATGATTCTGTTAGGTCTCTTATGAGCCTCCTTTCCAGAAAAAATATTATATAAAATTTCATGATTAAAAATTAAAATCTAAAGTTTTAGATTTAATTTAAAAATATGGTATGTGGGCTGGGTCATTGTATTATCTATGTTATGATATACAATGTAACATGAACAAAAGAATCTAAAGAGAAATCTATCTCAAATTTCAAGAAAGGTGTTAAGAGCATATAGAGAAGTGACAACCTTTTTGGTCAGACAGTGAAAGAAGACACAGGATTCACCTAAAACAGTAAGCAGCACAGACGTATGCAATGCCAATTCACAGAATGAGAACAAAATCAATTTGAAAGTTTACTGTGAGACCCACACATTTTGGAGAAAAATTTCCACACCAAGTAGATGTGGACTAGAATAAAAACATAGGCAGTATACACCACCACAATAAAAATGGTTAGTAAGATGATATTGAATATGGATGGCTCCCATGGATCCATGACAGCACAGCTGCTAATTGGTAGTAACTCCTGGAGAAATAGTCCTTCACATGCCTGAAATCCATGGTTGATTCCTTGAAGCTGCAGAAAGTCCATTCTGCCTGAGCAGGGGGCAATGTCCAGATTTTGATTCCTGTCCTTGCTACTCCACAGAAGAATGATCCAGGGTTACTTCACTGAATTGCTGTTTCTTCATTTTCTGGTTGGGTGTTGCTCCCTGCAACTTAGGTGAGCAACCACTCTTTGGCATTTCTCTAGATACTGTGAGCTTCCACTTGGCTGGGAGCCTCTCAGCATCCCAGAGTTGGGTATTTGGTCCAGCCATCTGCACTACTGCCAAAACTCCAATTCTGCCAGACTGATTATGGAGATTAATTATTGACAAAAGGAAAACACTCCCATCCAAACTTGAGTCCAACTGCACTGCTCTAGTGAATTCTTCCAGAAGAGAAACCCGGCTGCACTACTCATTGTGTTTATATCTTCCATGAATATTATTATAGCTATCAAGCAAGTAGTTTTGGCCCACATCTCCCCCTATAGTATACTAAGCTACTGCTTGTAAATGGTTATAAGTAAGGAAGCCAAATAGCATTTTTTGACAAAAATTACCATATTCTTAATGATAGTAATAATAAAAAATGTACATATTTTATTCTGAAAATAATTATTTCATTTGTTGTTAGTATTGAGTTTCATTCAGGATGCATAAGTTGTTGGAAGTTTGGTTTCCAACTAATGGTGAATTAATATGGATTTTATTATTCTTGTGATTTTTTTTCTTACTTGGTGATTCTGGCCAGTGATTAGAGATTCAAAGAGCAGAGTAATTGTTCTACTATGTGTTTTTTTTTAACATTTATTTAAGTATAGTTGGTATATAACCTTATATTAGCTACATGAGTTTCAGGTGTACAAGATAGTGATTTGGCATTATTATAACATAGAATGTGATCTCTTACCACGCAAACTTTAATACAACATTATTGACTATATTCCCCTACCCCTTATTCAGCCATCATCTTTCTATTATGTAAGAAGGAAGAACAGCAAAATCTTTGGGTGCTCTGAATGATAGTCAAGAAGCATTTTGAAGATCCTATCTTCACATTTTATACCTTACATTCCCTTTCCTAATAAACATTTCAAATTGGCTAGAAACTTTTTCAGGAAATTATAACTAAATGATTATTTTCACTCATTTAGCAAATACTAAGAACCATTTTTGTGCAAAATACAATATTATACTCAAGTGATGATGTGACTAACAGCAAACACAATTTCTGGAGATGATATTTAACTGGGGATGCAAATATGCCAAGGATCTTATCACTGAATGAACAACCATAATGCCAGCCTCTTCTTCCTCTTCTACCAACAATAATGAAAGGATTAGATTTTTAAAAACTGTTACTATTCCCCTAAGCAATTTTACATGATTGTGTAATCTTCAATCAAAGTTAAGTGATTATCAAATTCACTTTCAAAACTGAGGCAGCAATTTAATTCTCTTTTGGTCTCTAGATTTTAGCAGAGTTCACACTATAGGGCAAATTCTCAATAAGAATGTTTTTAATAAAATAAGGATGAATATGTAGATTATATATAATGATTAGAGAGTGAAGCTACTGAGAATGAAGATGGAATCTTAATTTGATTGGTTTTCTGTATAATTTGCTGGGTACTAAATCATTGATTAAGCTACAAGCATGGCAAGAGCATCACCCTGCATTTCTTCTGTCCAGTGAAGAGTTTAATTACATTCTTTGTGTCTAATGATACTTTTATTCCACCAAAAGAGACGAAGTATCCTCATTCGGATCTGTTTGGTTTTGATAGTGTAGACAATGGGTTGAACAATGGAGGTGTGAGATAATGCAGATAACAGAGCAGCACACGGCTGGAAGGGAAAGCATGTTTCCCAAGTCTGTGGATCATGGATAGGCCAATGGGGAGTATGTAGAAGAGCAGCAAGCACAGAGGTGGGAGACACAAGTGTTGAGGGCTTTGAGGCGCTCTGCTTTGGAGGCAATGGACAACACTGTGTAGAGGATCAGACCATAGGAGAGGACAATGAGCACTGCATCCACACCCAGTGTGGAGAGTACCACAAAGAGACCATAGGCACTGTTGATGTGGGTGTTAGCACAGGCCAGCTTCATGACATCAGGGTGCAGGCAGTAGGAGTGGGAAAGCAGGCGACTGCGGCAGTAAGGCAGCTTCTTCAGCATGATGGGAGCCGGGATGTGGAGACCCACGCTGCGCAGCATGATGGCCAGGCCCAAGCTGGCAATCCGGGGACTCGTGAGGATGGTGCCATAGCGCAGGGGGTTGCTGATGGCCACAACACGGTCAAAGGCCATGGTCAGCAGCACAGAGGACTCCATGATGGAGAAGGTGTGGATGAAGAAGAGCTGGGCCAGACACACATCCACTGCCACCTCCCTGAGACCCAGCATGTAGATGGTGAGCATGGTGGGCAGTGTGGAGGCAGACAGGCCCAGGTCAGTCACTGCCAGCATGGACAGAAAGTAGTACATGGGCTGGTGCAGGGAGGGCTCTGACCTCACCACCCAGAGGATCAGGCTGTTTCCTGCCAGAGATGCCACATACATGGCACACAGAGGGATGGAGAGCCAGGTGTACACAGCCTCAAGGCCTGGGAGGCCTGATAGGAAGAAGGAGGTGCCAGTGTTGTTGGAGTCTGACATGATGACCTGGACAGACAGAACTCCAAGCAGATGAGCATTCACAGGGTCTATGATCAAAAGAGTTGCTGAGTCAGAGCCTGATTTGTTAACCATGACATTGCAAAAACTCCCCAGGATGCTTCTCTGATAACCATGGACTTGTAATTTGCTCAACTATTCCTGATAGCTCAAACATAAAGAGCCCTAAAAATAAAATGATTAGTTTGAATTATTAGAACAGCTCTTGAACATATAATCATGGCTCAGTAACCATGAAACAAAATTTACCTCAGACACATAATTATAGGCTCTTGAATCAAAGCAGTTGTTGTTTCATAAAAGGTATTGAGCCAGATCGTGTATCCCAAAGTAAAATCTTGGAATTTCTGTCTCCACTATGTGGTTCTGAACACTGATATTCCAGGGAGTCCTCTTAAATAAATATTAGCCAAAGCCAAAGACAAGACATTGAGGTGCCTGAAGGGAATTATAGCAGGAACCTGATTCAGGTGCCAAAACAATGAATTTCCCAATGAAATAAAAACTGAAACACAGTCCTAGAAAGGCACTGAGACAGTCTCAGGACAACTCTTCATTGTTTATATTTGAAAATGAAATCTAGTCCTTTCAGCTAATTATCAGAATTGGAGGTCTAAACTAACTCATTTCTTCAGTTCCAGTCATGTTCTCCTTTCATAACTTCTCCATGTCAGCCATTTTTTAAATTTTAACAATATAGTAAGGGGGATTCTAAAGAGAATTCTATTATCAAATATTATCATAAACTTATTCTGACACTTCTATGTGTGTATGCATACTCCCTACACACATTTTAAATAAATATTTTAATAGAAACCCACTACAAAAAATAAACATTATATATTTTGTATTTATGTCTTTTAATTTAAAATTTCTTAGTGGAGGTATATATGTATGTTGATACATAGTCTAAAAGTATAAATGTAATGCAATGCAACTATGATAGAATGATCTCTGACATTCCCGATATTTTATTGGTAAGGTCCTGGTGACAGTAAAAAGGCAAGAATTTGTCAAGAGATCAGATGTTTATTGTATAAACCTCATTGTACATCACAGTTGGGAGAAGGGCTGTCCTCTATTCCTCCAAGTTTTCTCTCCCCAGACCTTGAGGACTTCTCAATTGCCAAGCCATGTATTTTCTCCTATGGCCTCCTTATTTCCCAGTACCCAGTCAAAAATAACTAGTATTTTAATGTATTTTCCAGCATTTCCTCAATGAAAACCAAGCCAGGAGCTTTCTGGAAGTCCACAATGATAAAACATTTGAATAGCAATAGCCAATAAAAGCAAGTGAAATTTGAAGAATCATAAAATCCAACATTCAGGTTTGTGCGTGTGTGTTTGCTTGTGTGTTTGTTTTTTGCAGACATTGTCTTGAGTTGAAAGCTGTTATAATGAAAATTAATTTGTCTGGAGATATTTGCTCTAGTATTCAACTCCTTTCCAAAAAGTATCCCCATTTTGGATCCTATCACTTTTCTGAACATAGTCATGTGTAGGTCTCATCCTTCATGCTGGCACTTTCAGCTTTTGGTACTTTAAAATTACTTTTCAGTCCACA